CGACCGGTTCTCTTCTCCATCGACTACATGCATATCTGCTGGCGCATCAGGTGAATCGTCGCTCGATTGGCTGGGGTTTCTCAACTGGTGTCGTACACCACTGTCAGCCCACCTCTTTGGCTTGGCCCTTGCAGGCGCCAAGCCATCCACCCGACCAAGAAGCTGCTCATCGGGCCGTACCTTATCAACCCGAACATCCTCGTGACAATGGCCAAGGAGGGCGAGGTGGACATTACGGCCAGCGACCTCGATTACGCCGACAAGCAGAACCAGTCGGCAACAATGAAGTAGGACCGGGTAACGTTCATGGTGGAGTTAGCAGACTGTACTGCATGATGTCCACGCAATAACTTGGATGTCCCTTAGCCTAGCAAGGCAAGCCAGTTGTACGACTGCCTATCACTTGTCTTCTTTGCCTTTTGCTGTAATTTGTGTCCCGTTGCACAGGCTGTCAGACCACCACGTAGACCCCAAGACCAGGAAGGTCGTCGCGGTGGACTCGATACGGGCGGCTATCGCGTCGCGCTGCAAACGGAGCCCTGCGGGTGGAGTGGGCTCCACCGCTGATGGGACCTATTACGGCACGTATCTCTTTCATTCCTTCTTCCACATGTTCACTGGCGTCTTCTACACGGACGTGACGCCCCGCGAGGCTATCAGGAAGGCCGCGTTTGTGCTGGGTTTCTTGGGCCACTGGGAGACCAGCCTTCACAAGACCAGCAAGACTTCACGCGCGCACGACATCAGGGCCCACCTCAAGGCCCACTTCCTGACTAACGAGACACGGCAGGACATCATCATCGCATGCAACAACGTCATCCTCGCGGCCGTGTACATGCGGGAGTACTGCCTGGAGCGCAAGGTAGGTGTTTCAAGGGAAGGGTAGATAGGGACCGCCAGCAACAGGCTTGATACACACCACATTCACTTAGATGCGCCACAACCAAGCTCCTGCAAAAGTGACACAATCGACTGTCCTGGCGCCACCCAGTTACCCCCCGGTCTTCACAGCGTTTTCGGCTCCGCAATCTCCGTCCAGGATATACGTTGATTGGTCCTGCCTTTGGCTCCCTTTCGTAGGTAATGGTGAGGATCTGCTTTGGCCAGCTGGGTAGTCGCCCCGCCGAGCACACCTTCCAGTCCCTTCGGTGCGCGGACAAGACATCCTGCGTGTTCGGGATGTTGAGAGCAGAGGAGCTCCTGCGCAACGTCCCCGTACAGCAGTCAACAGAGGCCGCGTCAGAGCTGGTTGTGCCCGACGCGAAACGTGGAGCTTCACGTGGGAAGGCCAGGGCATTCGTCCCAGAAGTAGGCCTGGCCACCCGTTCATAGCAACCATGTGCCCCATTACCTGAGTAACTTCTTTGCCAGTACCGTCTTCGCGACGTGACGTGCCTGAGTACTGACGACTTACATTGTTGGCTATGCGGGACGGGGCGACAACACAGTCCCCTGCGTGAGTGTCATACTATGCATTCGGGGTTCGTGCGTATATGTCCTTGCTTGCATTTGCCCTAATACGGTATCCCCCAACAGAGCACAGAGTACCCCACCCTAACCACTATCTTCCCTTTCAACAGGCCGTGGGGGAGCCCGCAGTCGCGGCCATCCGTGCTTACTACCCCGACGACAACAGTGTCACTGCCGCAATCAACGCGGGACTCGAGGAGGTGCGTCAGACATGTTGTGATGTGACTTGAATCGTAGAATATGAATGCACCTATAGGAGCACCTGCCACAACGGCGATACTGAGTCCAGGCTTTTGTAAAGCGAACCTTTACCCCTGCGTGTTTGTCCATGCACTTTGGCACAAACGTTTTCAGCAACACCCCCGTCCCCACCCTCCCTTCAGGTCCAAGCGCTCCTGACAATGGACATCGGTGAGATGGCGGGGACCGTCCGCCCGGATAGCGTATGGAGCATCGCCACCAAACCCGTCACCGGAGTCAAGCTGGGACAGGACCACATGCACCTGCTGGGGACCGTTTCCGTCACCGGTGAAGGCGGCCAGCCAGCCAGGCGGGGGGGCCCTGCATGTTCCGATGACCTGCCTGAGGAGATCGAGTACAGCGGAGATGGCGAGGATGACGAGAGTGATGACGAAGTGGGGCCCAGAGGTGGGCATCAAGAAGGGGCCTTGCATTGTCTAATGCAACAGCGGTTGCGATCAGTGTTCCATTTGTTGGCTAGCTGTTCATAGTTCCTGTATGAGACGACACCACGGGCACAATATGCCCTCTTGCAACACCCGCAGCAGCCAGCGACACCATGAACACACGGGATGAGGCCGCGGGTCGCGCTGGCGGTGAGAGCGGCGAGGTGGCTGGCGAGGGTCCCGTGGTCGGCGAAGGAACCGTGGGCGGTGAGGAACCCGCGGGCGGCGAGGAACCCGCGGGCGGTGAAGAACCCGCGGGCGGCGAGGAACATGCGGGTGTTGAGGAACCTGTGGGCGGTGAGGAACCTGCAGGCGGCGAGGAGGCGCGCGATGACGACCAGTCTGACTCCGACGGAGGAGAGCGTGGACGCCTGCTGAAGCGGCCGCGTGATGTCAGCATACTGCTGGCCTTGCGCGTGTTCACACGG